ATAGAGGCTACTCGCACCCCAGCGTGCTAGCATAGGCACAATAGTATACACGATCGCGTTCTGAAGTCGCTGTGTAAAGGTCATATCATCAGTAAAGTCAGAAAGTAGAGATGGCACGTACGACAAAGGCAGAGGCACACCTGTAGTTTTTTCGTCAAGACAGTAAGGATCCACACGCATAACAGCAATGTGGGGAACCCGGAAGTCTAGATGAGCTGAAAGGATAGCACCACAAGGAGAGAGGGGGTTGGAGATAACAACACTGTACTGGGATGCCCTCAGGTGGGCAAGCAAGCCATTGTCCCCCAGAAGAAGGGCGCAGGAGTTTGAAATCTCTCCGAACATAGCGACTAATATTTCACCTTGCTCATAGCGAGACCGTTGCCTAGCCAGAGAAAGAGCGCCTTCCTTTTCTTCGAGCCTTGCTTCGGTTCCCTGGTCTTAGAATGCCTCAAACTGAAAGTCAGGCCGCTCCGTTCGTCGTTTTTGCACAATGTCCTCCGAAACAACCACGGTGACGATATGGCCTCTGCCCACCAAAGGCAAAGCACGGCCGATTCGGGCTAGAGCCGTCCAGTGGCTTTTGCCTCTTGGGGGAGGTACAGCAGAACGTTCTCTGAGGTACAGGACTGTATGGAGATCAAACCCAGGAAAACTAGTACATATATAATATATATAATGGCGGAACAGCGACGCTTCGACGCGATTTCCATGTCACTGCCCTTCACTCCTATCCAATGACGCTGAGCAGGTGATCAAATTTCATGTAACTTAAGTGCAAACAAAGCACGTAGACACAGACTCCGGACAAGGTCTAAGGAATTCATGCCGAAACTTAAGTCTGGAGGGAGTGTAAAGGGTCAGTTACTGGTCTATATGCACATAGCCAGGCCAGACAGGTAGGCGTAGCCGTCTAACCAGTTTGTTTAAACGCCCTTGGGACTTGGTGCATGCTGGGAAAACAGGGCCTTTGACCTCTACGAACTTTGCCCTTGTTACATGAAATTCGATCACATTTTCAGCGTCATTTAGAAAGTTGAGAGTCCAGAACAGGGACATGGGAGCTGCATCGAAGCCTTGATGTCCCGCAATTTTTCTGGGTTTCCTTAACTTGTCAAACGTAGAAGCAACGAGCTTCTATTTTTTCCTTCATATTTAACCGGACTAATTAACCGGACTGATTCGGGACTTACCAAGTTTTGGAATTATTTTTCCGCAACACACAAGATGGTGTAGCAGCAATAGCTACAGCTTCAGACACTTGATATATTCATACATTGTACAGTACGTGTTTTTGGCGACGTCTCAGGGGGGAGCCTAATGGTACAGTATTGTGTGCAGTTTCCAAGAATTCTAGGAATTGTACTGGCATGTTGTCCACAGGAATGGAATGTCCACAGGAATGTCTCGCATCTCTGGGATTTTGCTGATACACATCTATGCCCACATTCCTACGTAGTGTAATTCCAGGAAAACCCTGGCACATTGTGGAAATTGTACAGATTCACAACTGAGCAGACACATACTGATTCACATCCCTGTTCATGCCCGGAGCCGGAGGCTAATTGCCAGTTACAAAGTAACATAAAAGAACATTAAAGAACAGTATATAAAATAACTAAAAATCTACATAATGAAGGGTAGTTGTCTAAAATGATAGCTATGTCTAAAACTATGTCTGAAGGGTTTGACCTCTCTATTGTGACTTTAGAAGACATGTACACGTTTGACTTTATATCTGTAAGATCCTGTAAGTCTCCAGCTCCTCAGCATTTTCCCAACGTGTTCAGGGTCACAATGTGAGTTATCAGAATGCCACAAAAAGGAGTATCCATTGTGATCTAATACCGGTATGTCTTTAACACGTTGCCGTAAAGTTCGTCTACGGGTATTTGTTGGAAGGCTTTGCTGTAACTGTACGAGGAGAGCATCCATTTGAAGGGAGTGTGAGGTTGTGCCCATTTGGACCAAGCATATATACAAATATCTGTATCTAACGGAAATCTACCTACCCTGTCTGCTCTACAGGCGACATTGCTGCTATTTCTAAATAATATAAAAACACTAAGAACATTTTTACAGAATTGGTTGTATACATTTTCTATAGGTATCATATGTAGTTTAATGTTTCTTCATGAGACACAGAACTGAAAACTAGTCCTTATAGTGGTGAAACAGACCGGCCACTGTGTGGGGTCAGAAAACACCTCTAAGCTTACCCGCTGAGACTGGTTACCAGGCTAGTAATCCCTGAACTCGGGCCGCCAAGATGTACCTCGATCCCTGTGATGACTGTCTCAAACCAAGCCAAAGTGAACTCTCTTCTCAGACCCACTATCATGCCCACATTCTTTCCCCACATGCCCTTCAAGTGTATGTCCTACATTCTTGCCCACATTATTTCCCCACATGCCTTTCAAGTGTATGTTCTACATTTTGGCCCAGATTCCTTCCCCACATGCCTTCCAATTGTATGTCCAACACCTACTTTGATTTTTCTTGACACGTCGTTTGCATACTATCTTTCATACTTTTTTATACTCTTTAATTTGATAGTATTTGTCTTTAGTGTATTGAGGATACTTCTCCTGGAACAATGACAATTTCATGTTATGCTTGTCGTCCGGAATAGTAGTGCACGCGTCTGTTGGAACTTTTGATACAGTAGATGGTTTTTGATGTCAATAGATAGAACAAACTGTAACTGACATTTGGGTGTGTATTGGGTGTTATTTTTAACAAACTCATGACAGACCAAAACGTACCTTCCCTACAGTACCAGGGAAAAGAACGAGAGGGAGGCAAAGGAAGAAATGGGACGTCAAGGTCAAGGAGTTGACCGGCTCGCCCCTTGCCAGTGCCCAAGCGCTGGCTCATGACAGAGAGGAATGGAGGAAGGCAGTGTGCTAAGCCACTAGGTGCCCCCACGACCACCCCCGGGCAAGGGACCGGTAAGACGGTAAGATGTTCAAAATATGGATCGACAGACAGGTAGGATATTTAACTGCTAATGGCCCACCCCGAGGTATATATAGTGTGATAAGGCATTGTCAATGTAGCTACGCTCACTCGGTGGTTTTATTATGTGTTATAGCAACTGACAAGGCCTTATCACACTATTTACACCTTGGGGTGAGTCATTATCTACAGAAAATATTCTTAAATAAAGATTAAATATACTAGCAAAAATTACTATTAAGAATAATTCTAAAGTTTTTTGTTAAGCATGTTTGTATGCATGTGAGCGGAAAAATAAGCTGTTTTTTCAATGGTTTGCGTGGGACGATAGAGGTTCCTGTCGTGTCATTGTCACGTGCGTGTGCAACATTGATAAAGCAAAATTGATATGGTCGCGACGTCGATTATGAAAGTCTCTAAACACTGTCATACGTACGAGTACCATCTGTCTTACTGACAGAATCAGCTCTGAATGATATGGGGAGAAATAAGTGTCTTCAAGACCCCCATCTAAATTTTAAAAAAAGGATGTCTTTTCATATACCTTACAAGATCTAAAGAGCGGACTCCTTCTGATAAAGTAATCCACGTGATCTTCTGGCAGCTTAGCAGCCAGACCATTATTGTGGGCGTAAAGAAACGGACAAAAAAGCAAGTAGCGGTACACACCGGGACAGTCCCCTACTCTTTACGATACGTATGGTGGGTTCTTTGAAGTGCGTGGGACCATCATTTAACGTCCTATCCGATGGACGAAGCTAGGTACTCATTTTCCTGTTAGTGAAGTAAGAAAGTCGCGTAAAGCGCCTTTCCCAAGGGCCCACGATCTGTGACAAGATGGGGGTTCGAACCCAGGACCTCTTGGTTCCTAGCCGAAGACGCTACAGCTACGCCACTCGATCCCACCAATAGATATGCTAGATCTAGTGACAATTAGATTATGAACATCCCTAAACAATAACATGCTTACGAATGTCATCTGTCTTACTGACAAAATCAGATTTGAATGATACGGAGAGAAATACGTGTCTCCACGACTTCCATCTGAAATAATTGTTTTCATCTTTATCACACGACGTACAAAGAACGGACTCCTTCTGATAAAGTAATCCCCATGATCTTCCGGCAGCTTAACAGCCAGACAATTATTGTGGGCGTAAAGAAACGGACAAAAAAGCAAGTAGCGGTAATTTTAAATATTACATTTTGGGTAAACAAACTGGTGGCAAGAAGATGGTAGTATAAGGTGGAATAGATGATTATGATTTCTAAACAATTTTTTTAAACATGTTAAGACGGGTTTTATCACTCATCTTTTCGCAAATGTCTAGCAATAACTGACAACGTGTTCACGTCTGTTTCGGTACTTGCATCTTTTGTTTCTTGATGTAAAACTTTGAAAGATACGTTTGTTCCTATTAAACAAAGGAATGTTGACGTTTTCATCTCTTACATATCGTTTCCTTTTGAAAATTTTTACGCGTTGGGCTTCATAGATAATTTTATCAATGTGTGCATGTAAAATTTACTAATTGCCTAAAATTTAGGGGAACTTTCAGCATGCATTTGACAATGTACACTGCATGCCATTTTCAATATTCCACATCCGACCTGGCTGTGGTCTTAAAGTAAAGTTTTGATGTCATTCTTTTACTGAGAGGCTTCAATCATCTCTAATCTCAGATTATGGGATCTGGGTTCAGATTACCTTTTGTCTATAGCTAGGCAAGAACGTCTGTATAATGTCCTTGGTCTAGGACTCTACGTGAGTCGACAATCGCCTTGCCAGGAGCAGGACGTGTTTTTTTTTTGCTGTCCAGAAACCTTAAGTGTCGTCATGTCGGAAGAGGAGCAACAGTCTCAGGCTGGTGACACTAGTAAGCATGTACAATTTGGTTATCATATAAAATTTGGTAAACCTTTTGTTTCAGATGTTTGAGGGAAAAAAGAAAGAATTTCAATCATTTTATTTGCCATGCATCGAATTGCTGTCTAGCATTTTGGTATTTTTATTCCTTCTATTTCATAATTTTTTTAAAACTATTCTTGGTCAGTCCTAATTATTTGACGATTAGGTGAAGAGAAACGCCGTATCTTCCTGTAAGAATTTTTTTTTCTTTATTTATCTTAGGTGCCACAAACATGCAGCGGCCTGAGTCTTATTGGCTATCAAGTGCGGACGCCGCTGCAAGAATACCCAACCCTATGTACGCCTCCAATGCAGGTAAAACATGTACAGAGCTGATCATTTCCCTTTGGCTTTTGCTGGTGCCAATTTTCCGCAGGTGACTGACTAAATTTTCTTCACTTGTCTCAGGTGCCACACCCATGCAGCAGCCTCAGTCACTGCGATCACGTGCGGACACCGCTGCCAAAATACCGAACCCTATGTACACCTCCAATGCAGGTAAACTGATTACGGTCTTTATTTCATATTTGCATTTTCTACCTTGTATTAAACGCCTCAAATTATCCACGGATGGCTGCATTTAAATTTCAGCTGTTTTTTTTTTATTTTTAGGCGCCACGCGTATGCAGCGGCCACTGTCGTATTGGCGATCACTTGCGAACGCCGCTGCGAAAATGTTCAACCCTATGTACGCCTTTAGTTCAGGTAAATCGTTTAATTCATATTCCCTATCTTGTTCTGTATGTTCAATGCCCAATATTTTTCACAAATGACTTTTTTATATCTTTGTTATTTTTTCGCCCAGCCGACTCACCAATAGACCAGCCCCAGACTGATTACCAGGCACGAGCGAACGACGATGAAAACACACCCGACGTCACGTACGCCAACATACCAGGTAAAACGTTTTAAGTTTCTTTCATGTTTTTTTATTGCTTTGTGATTGCAATCTTACTAAAGCTAAGTCATTCTTTTAAGTAGTTACCGTGATTGGTCCGTAGTACTATTCGCGTACTTGGGTAGGTTTTCGTTGAGAATGTTCTAAAAAAGTTTGTCAAGATATTTCCACAGTTTCGTAATGCACTAAAAGCATTTTAGATGAAAAGTGCTCTGTGTTGGTATACTTCATTACGACAAAAGGGTCGAACATTTAGGCAAAACTGAGTAAATTGGGATATGCCAAATTTTCAGCCGACTCCGTCCGACATCATTTCTTTTTGTTTTTGTTTTTATTTTCCCAGACGACCCACCCATCGACCAATCCCAGACTGATTACAAGGCACGTGGCAACGACGATGAAAACACACACGACGCCACGTACGCCTCCGTACCAGGTAAAACGTTTCTTTTTTTTTTGCATCCTGTTTTTTCATTGCTTTGTGATTGTAACCTTACTAAAGCCTAGGTCACAACCCGCCATACGTGCATCTGTGTGCTGTCTACGTGAAAAAAACGGGGGCAAACGTAGGGGATCCGTGCGTGGTGAGGACCACCTCCATATGGAATCCTACGGATTTGGGAGCACGCAGACACGCCGTAGAACTTTAAGTGCATGTAATACTTTTTCCGCGTGCGGTCTGCTGATCCACCACCCGTGCGTGCGAGTATGTCCGTATGCTACGTACCGTACGTAAGAAGCACGTGTGAGTACGGCCTCCTTAGGCCACACCAATTTAATTTCTTTCATTTTTTTAGGCCACACCAATTTAATTTCTTTCATTTTTTTGCCCTGAACAGTCGAAAACAGTCCTTTTCTTACTACTTGTTACAGTCATTCGATCTTTTAATGCAGTGGTATCATTAAAAGTTCAAAATTCATTGTTTAAATTTTGAACCAGCCTGATGTGTTGACTCCATGGCTCTTATCGTACCATTTTGGGCCATAATACGATGCCTACGCCTGTTTCTATTTTCATTTTTTTTCGCCCGCCCGCTCCATTATTTTTCTAGAAAAATCCGTTAAACAAGAAATTAAATTGGTGTGGCCTTACGGTAAAGTTGCAATCGCACAGAGATTGTGCGTTGTAAGCACGTACAACTCACTTACCACTTGCGCAACGAACGATGTACGCAACCGCTCACGGCCAGACGTGGCGTGCAGACCACACTCTTGCACCTTGCGCAACCGTGCGAGTGACGTGCGTCGAAGCCACTCCTTCCCCACGTTTTCAGAAAAACGTAGCAGACGTGGCCTCCCAATAAAACGTACGGACAAAAGGCATGATCGGCGGGTTGTGACCGAGGCTTCGAAAGCGGATTGTTTCTTTTAAGTAGTTACCTTGATTTGTCTGTGATACCAATCGCGTAGTTTTAGTTTATCAAAAGTACTCCACATTTTCATAATGTACCAAAGCATTTTTAAGCACGAAAGAAACCACTATAAGCAAGCAGGCCAGAAGACCTATTTCTTCACCTTATAATACTGACGTCACATTTCCAAACCGGGGCCCGGCCGGCCGGTTTCTAAAACTTTATTTTTGCTTTGTTTTAGGTAAATCGTTTATAGCCCCTATGTTGTTCGTTTTGTATGTTAAAGGCTCAACCGTTTTTACAAATGACTACATTACATCGTATTTTTTGTCCAGACCATCCACCCTTGCACCAACCCCAGACCGAATGCCGGGCACGTGCGAACAACGATGAAAACACAAACGACGTCACACACGCCACCATACCAGGTAAAACGTTTTAGTTTCTCCCTTTTCCTTCATCCTTAAATTAGGCTCTTATTTCCACAGTCAATATGATAATGTTATTTTTGCTACTGATAAATTTGGCGTATTTCATACTCATGACATGTGAAAATTTTTTAAACTGAGCATCACTATGCGTAAATGTTGACGTAAACCATAACCTGAGCGAAGTATGTTTTTCGACCAGACGGCGCGTATCCGGGTGGAGCGAGCGGCCGCCGTGGTGTCTGTAGCTTCCTCCGCGCCCGCCGCAGCTGCCTGGCCGCCGGCATCGCCGTGCTGCTCAGCCTGGGCGTCGTGGGACTCGCCCCTCTGACGTTCAGCAATAAACAGGTTACAATCTTGTAAAGTATAGCCTGTTGTCCAGCTATTTTTCTGATTCTCATTAATTATAATATACTTTTAGGAGGTACAAGAGGTTAAAGAATTTGCTGCAGTTTTTGGAAAGTTTGCTTCTTACATTCAGTATTCTGACGTACGTAAATACATTTGTAGGAAATATCACAATTGTTGACAACTGTGACGCGCGACCAAGACAACATGCAAAAACTTTTCATCACTGTTGACGCCTTGAAACGCGACCAAGACGGCATGCGACAACTCTCCACCACTGTCGATGCCTTGAAGCGCGACCTGGACAGGGAGCGAAGCCGAACCACCGCCTTGGAGCAACGTATTCAAGGGAGGACTTTAAGTAAATTGGTTATTCAGCTGTTCTGTTGGTTATTTACTTTACTCTTACATCATTAGATAAAAGCAGGTAAAAAAACTGCGGGACACCTTTACATAATGTTTGTGTGGGGGGCGCATCATTTAAACCTGTCATAGTGAATATTTTCAATGTCGAATACAATTTATTGTTGATTAATGATATGTGTGTCATGATTTTTAATATGGCCCATCCATGGCCTGTTGCTGATACAAAACATGTTTTCCAGATACTTGTCCTGAAGGTTACACAATGTGGCGTGCAATCTGCTACAAGGCCTTCAACACACCTAGGTACTTCAATGGAGCGGAGGAGGCCTGTGGCGAAGACGGTGGCACCCTCGCCATGCCCCGAGACGCTGAGACCAGCGTCTTCCTCGTCTCCCTGTACAAGTCCGTGAGCAGCCGTAATTTCTTCTGGATCGGTCTTCACGATCGGCGCATAGAGGGAAAGTTTGAGTGGGTGGACGGTTCTGCACTTGGGTCGTACAACTCCTGGGAACCGGGACAACCGGAAAACTTTAAGGGCATCCAAGATTGCGTCATTTACCACGCATACGCAGTCACATGCCTGAAAGACACGTGGAACGACCAAGACTGCCACTCGTCGAATGACTTCATATGCCAAGTTGCTCCAGGTACTTATTGCATCTTTACTATTCCCTGAAACCATTACATGCAGTAAAATTGGCACAACTTAAGTAAGTACCCGTCAGAATAAGACATTAGACCACTATTACTCTTGTCACAAACCATGTCTGAACTAAATAAATCCTGTCTCATCCCTGATAACATCTGATTGGTTTTTCAGAACGCCCATAGGCGACAGGCTGGACTCTCACCACTACTGAACAACGGCTCTCCAACCATTCGCAGTAATACCGACAAAGTACCCCATTTCTCACATTTTTGCAATTAAAGCAAGCATAGTTTTATTACTTATTATCACTTATTTAGACAAGGCACACAATGTCCTTCTGATGGCAGAATATTATGAAGTTTATTTGATGAAAATTGGGGAAACATTCAGATGTAAGTTTCTCTGAATATTCGGAGGATAATTTTAGGAATGGTGATTCCTTGGTAGAAGTAGACGCTGTGCCAATAGAAATTTTATGTTTTATTGCTTTGATTACTTTTGTTATTATTGTAACTTATTGCGATACAATGTACAGGCATGCAATGTCCTTCTGGTAGCAAAATCGGGAACACTCGAATTAAATGAATTTCGGAGACAACAACTTGAACAAGTCTAAAGAAATAGCGGTTCTGTCACAGACGTACATGGTGTGCAAATATAACATGCATAGGTTTATTACTTTTTATTCATTTAATCAAGGCACACAATATCCTTCTGATGGCACAATTATATCAAGTTTACTTGATGAAAATGAGGTAAACATTCAAATGTAAGTTTTCCTGAATATTTGGAAGGTAGTCAGCTTAGGAATGGTGATTATGTGATAGAAGTAGACGCTGTGCCAGTAGAATATTCATATTTTATTGATTTTTATTGCTTACAATTTACAGGCACAAAATGTCCTTCTGGTGGCAGAATCATACCAAGTTATCTTGATGAAAAAATGACAACATTCAGATGGAGGGACTAAATATTTGGAGGATAGCCAGTTTAGAAATAGCGATTTTATCATAGGAGTAGACGCTGAGCCAACAAAATATTCATATTTTGTTGGTTTTATTACCTTATTACTATTGTCGCTTATTAAAATACAATGTGCACGCAAAGATACCATCTGGTGGCAGAATCACAAGTTTACTTGGTAATAAATTAGCAACACTTGAGTGAAGTTTGGAAGAAAACAACTCGAACAAATTTTAAGAAATGGTGCTTCCGTTACAGAAGTAGACGCTGTGCCAATAGAACATGCCTAGTTTTATTACTTATTATTAATTTTATAGACAAGGCAAACAATGTCCCTCTGTTAGCAGAATCATATTAAGTTTATTGATGAAAAAAGCCAAAATTCAGATGTAAGTTTTCCTGAAAATTTGGAGGATAGTTGTGATTGTGTCCTAAGCTGTGCCAGTAGAACATTCGTATTTTGTTGCTTTTTCTTACTTTTATTTTTAATGTTACCTATTACGATACAATGTACAGACACACAATGTTCTTTTAGTGTCAGAATCATATCAAGTTTACATGCTAAAAATTGGTAACACTATAATTGAGTGAACTTTGGGAGACAAGAACTTGAGCAAGTCTGAAGAAATGTAGGTCTGTAGAATTAGACGCTGTGCCAAAAGAACATACGGAATTTTATTACTTACGATTACTTATTTAGACAAGGCACATGGAATTTTGATGGAAGAGTCATATCATGTTTGCTTGATGGAAAAAAGACAACATTCATATATAAATTGTCCTGAATATTTGGAGGAAAGTTTTAGGATTCAATTTGGCAATTCTGTGGTAGAAGTAGTCGTTGTGCCAATGGAACATTCATATATTAATACTTTTTAAATTATTGGTAATTATTACGATACAATGTACAGACATCCAATG